GGCCGTACCACATCTACTTTGAGGATTTTGAACCCATAACCACCATTATTAATTTGATTTTCTCAGATCTCATTCATATATCCCGTATTTAGCCCCTGGGCCCTTGTCGCTTGTTTGTATATGAGATGTGAGATGTGTATTCATTGGTTGGCCCTCGCAAAGATATATTCTGAGCTGAATGGGTTGAGGATAGCGCCAAATTCCGTAACAGTGGACACCCTCTCGCGGTAGATTTTTACCACTACTTACAGTTCGATATGAAAGACGAGGGATCAGGAAGAAAGAATAGAAAAAAAAAATAAAAAATAAAAAATAAAAAAGAAAAGAAAAGAAAAGAAAAAGAGGGACTGCTTCACTGTGTGATGGTGACATCAACCAAATGTAGGGATCGCCGGCCAAGTCGCCCATTGATCCGACCCTCTGTCACTAATCAACTCACATTTTACATGCCTCCTCATTTTGACCATACCATACACCATGCTGACGCTGCGTTAGAACCGATTCGTGGGCTCCGTCCAGCCGGAAGCTCTTCCCGAGGCTCTGCTCTCCTGTTGCTATCTCTTTCGAGGTCCTTGGCTAGCGCCACGTGACACCTGCCATCGCGAACGCGGAAGGTTCACAGGCCCTGTCGCGCCCAGCGTTGCCGAACTCGGGACTTATCGATAAGCCACAATATCGGCAATAGGGGGCCCTACGTCCCTGAACGAATAACGACTGAGCAGCATGTCGTCGCGTAGGAACGCTAATTTCACCCCCGGTCAGTCATCGAAGAAACGTGTGAACTACCATCTGAAGCAGCCCTTAATGCGCGAGCGCACCGAGTCCCATATCAAAACGCTCGAGCAGCACCGAGGCCTCGCGACACAAAAGTCCGCCCACTAACACCAGGCTGTTCTCTGGCACAACGAGCAACTCCAGTCAGAGAATAGAGAGCTCCGCCAAGGGTTCAAGGCCGGTGCGAATATCATACAACTTCCATTCCAGTAAGGACTTCTCGCATTAAATTTGCTAATATGGTCGAATCGGTTTCTAGAAAATCCGATCAAGGGCAACAGGCCTTTGGTTGAGGGAACCAGGTTCACAGGAACAAGAGGGAAGAGACAACGTGCAACTGCATTAAAGCCTATACCATTGCTTCTCATCCTTGGTAGCAGAAAGTCAAAGAACAGTTGAAATCTGGTGCCACTGTACATCTCAAGCACCAGATCAGTCATGGCGAGCCTGGTCAAGTGGCCAGCCTTCAGGCGTTAGCTGCCCACAGAACTCAGGGTTATACACGGTGCCTGCCTTGTCCAGGGTAGCCACATACCGATTGCGGCCCCCACGTTTGCCGTGCGTTTCATAGTGGGCATTGATGTTGTCACGCCGCGAGAAACTGCGTTGGCACCCAGGGACCCAGCAGACATGAGGTCTCGCTCCTGAATGGCTTGCCAGGGCAACAGTTCAAGGTCTTTTGGCATTTGAATTGGCGCTTGCATCCCGAAAGCCAGCAATTGAACTGTTGCCGTGGGGTGCTGGCTTGTGAATCTCCGACACCGAAATCGGAGGGATCTTGCGTACGGAGGGGATTGGGGGATAGTCGGAAGACTTGACAGGCCTCTGCAACCTGCGTGTCTTGTCCAATGTGCTGCCCTCGAAGCCGCTCTATCCACGGATCATCGGTATTCTGTGGGGCTGGGAAGGGGCAGGTTCCGAACAAATTAGGCACAAGGTCAAAATGGCCAGGGAAAGCCTCCAAGGGTGAGTTCGATGACTCCCAGATAGGCTGGTATCGAAACCAACAGACCACAGGCCGCCATCCGCAATGGCTGGAACCTGGATCAATTGAGCAACTCATTTGTTGACAAAGATGACCATGGTTTCCGCTTTGGCTGATGTGCAATGGGACTGCCGAGCCATGAGAGATAAAGTCGCACTTTTCATGCTGGTGGAACTCCATGCCAGGCTGTTCGGTGGGTATGAGATCGATCAGGTCTTTTTGTTCGCTTCTGTCACCGTAGAAGAGTAGTGTGTCGCTTGGGAACATCATGTCCGTCTTACATGCTTCTGTTTGCGAGGATGTTGTCGTAGCTTGTTGTACTATTTGTGAACTGTCGCCCACACTAAGCATGTATCGAGATTTCTGTGCTGAAAATGAGGCGAAAGTAGGAGGCATTCACCCCACTGTCAAGAGCGATGTCTTAGTACGAAAATCGATCACTAGTAAGTGAGACCTAGTGTGTATAGAGGAAGGAGTGGCCCCTTGAAATAACGCGGACGAAACAAAAGGTAGAAAAGTCAGCAAACATCGCACAGAAACCTAGAATACCTGAATCATCGCTGCTTGCCCTCCCGAGTTGCTGAGTTGACCCTCCCTTCAACAAATCCTATCGAAAACGAAGTCTTGCCATTTGCTGCGCACGGTTTGATTTCAACGTGAACCTGGATTGTTGACAAAATACATGAACAACATATAAAGACGCCTGTTTGTGAGGCGAGATGGTCGTTGATTCAACGTTGACCGGACACCACCTGTGAGGCTAGTTCAATCCGGGCTTTTGCTGCCGACAACTAGGAACCAAGCAGACAGGGTGCCCGGCTTGATACAGAATTCCTAGTCTTTCACCAGTCGCTGACATGGCTGTATCAGGTGTTGCTCACCGGTCCTGGCCAGCCAAATGCTTTCAAATTAAGAAATATAGCGCTTGAATTTATGTAGCCGTTGAAGCTGCGAGATATGATTCAACGCTGCTTGAATAACTTGTTTGGCTACTGACATATTCATCAGCATGGGAATAGGGGTGCTCAACGACCGTAAATACCAAATAGCCATCAGAATCAAATAAATGACTGCGTTGAGACCCATACCTCTGTCGTAACACTAATAGGGTGACTACGTGTCTCCAGGTGGACTATAAGAGAGGCTATCATCCTGTGCAGACTAATTTCTTCGAAATCATTTCTTTGACTATCACGAAATGGATGCTCCAAGGAACGTACCGGACCAAAATAGTGAAGGAGATCATCGGCCGAGTGGACTGCCAATTCAGGTTGATAAAGGCTACCCAAAGGACGCTTCTGATCCCAAACCACGACAGGTAAGTTCGGTGCATCCCATACAGCATTAGATCTTTTGGCTGACTACTGGCATTCTCCCTCCCGTAGCTGGAAACCAACCAGAAAGAAACCCTGACGATCGAGCACTTTCAACCCATCTTGGCGACACTAGCAAATCTCGATCGCGACGATCCGAAACTAGCATTTCAAGCGGCTCGGTCCGTGGGGCTCTATCGACGTCTATGTGCATCATGTATGCCTAGGCACCTTAGTGGCGAGGATGTCGACTAGAAGAGTCAATTCTCGAAGGAGGCTAGCAATAACCCGAGCAAAGAGAGGAATGGACCTCAGCTTCCTCATGATGAGCAGCGATTACGACTGCTTTCCTTTGAGCAGGCTTTGGAATCATCGTGGGAACGAATGACTGTCGTGCTCAAT